GAACATTTCAAAGGGTCCTATCTGCTTTGATCGATTCTCTTCAACTAAGCATATCTCAGTAACATTGTCTCACTCTGAACCTACATTTAAAGTTATTTTGTGATTGTATGATTACTTGGCTATTCACATAAAATGTTGTGCAAGGACCTGCGGTCGAGTTCGGTGGTGAGGTCTCCCAAGCATCGTCGTCAGGCAAGTATGCATACATTAGTTACAGTCATTTGCCTGATCAGTTTCCGTGTTCCAGTGCAACGCTTCATGATGTTTACACGATTTCCAAGAATAATGCCTACCTACCTTTATTGCTTCTGGACCACCACCGAGACGCATCGTGGAAGCCCCTGATTTCTCTGCCTCAGTCGCACTTATTCCAGCCAGCGCTCTACATAGTCGTCTCGGCCCTGAGTGTAGATGTAGGTCGGGGGTCTTCCAACCAGCTATTACTGGCAAGTATATTGACGATTCAGCTTCTCCTTTGCCTGATACCGCTTCAACTTCTAGCTGTGTTTCCGGTTCTGCGATCTCCACAGTAGCCACATCATGTCCATGCATCCGTCCTGCCAACTACCAGCAGGTTTATGCCGCCACCTGCTCTTCCTCGGATCCGGGACACCCTAAAACAGGCACTGAGGAAGCTTCCGAGCCTCCCGAACCTCCCGACCCAGTCCTCAGGCGAGTATTTTAGCGATTCCGAGCTTTCGGTACCTGATGTCCTTTCGATTTCTAGTTCCCGTGATTGCTCCTCGAATGGTCTCCGGATCTACTACCAAAACGTGCGTGGGCTGAGGACTAAAATCGACTCGTTTTTCCTGGCTGTTGCGGAGGCCGAATATGATTTGATTGTGCTGACGGAAACGTGGCTGGACGACCGAATTTACTCATCGCAACTTTTCGGGTCACTCTATTCCGTCTTCAGAACTGACCGGTCTGCCCTAAACAGTCAAAAATCGCGCGGTGGCGGAGTCCTGATTGCAGTATCTACTAGACTAGCCAGCTACATAAGTACGTCACCCATATCCAGTCAACTGGAACAGCTGTGGATTGTCGTAGAACTTCCACAAAGCAAGCTTAGTGTAGGCGCAATCTTCCTGTCTCCCGACCGCAAAAACGACTGCACGAGCATCCTGCTCTCCCGCTTTCGTATTTGGTGACTACAATCAAGCTGGTCTGCAGTGGCGCTTTGCGCTTTACAGACAGTGGCACACCATTAATTGATCCACTGCTTTCGCATATGCCGGTTGCTTGCTGTCCTCTTTTGGACGGTTTTAACTTTTACGGGTTCGCACAAGTGAATACTTTTCCGAACCGAAATGGACGTTTGCTAGATCTTGTCCTGGCAAATGATTCCGCACTACCAGGCACTTCTGTTTTCTTGCCGGTCGAGGCACTGATTGATCTAGATGCCGATCATCCCGCTCTCGTCGTGTCATTTAGTTTACCTGCGCCGATTCTTTTTACGCCGTCATCTGAGTGCTACTCTTTGGACTTTCGCCGGGCCGATTATGTTGCATTGAACAATGCGCTTGCGGAAATTGATTGGCAATTTATCGAAACTGCCGCTAGCGTGAATGATGCAGTGGGTTTTTTCAGTGCTGCACTGGAAAATGCTATTTTCTGCATTGTCCCAGCTCGACGACCTCCGCTAAAGCCTGCATGGTCTAACCCACGCCTACGCGTGCTAAAACGTCAACGCTCTGCCGCCCTCCGAAAGTATTGTAAATCTCGCTCGCCGTACTACAAACGACTGTTCAATTTTGCGAGTCGTAGTTATCGAAATTACAATCGTTTTCCCTATAATCGACACGTGAGACGCACGGAAGCGAACCTTCGCACGAATCCGAAAAGTTTTTGGACGTTTGTCAACTCCAAACGGAAGGAATCCGGGTTGCCTTGTTCCATGTTTCTCGGGAATGACTCGGCTAATAGTGAAAGAGAAAAATGCGACTTGTTTGCTCGTCATTTCAAGCAAGTGTTCAACGATTTCTCCGCTTCGCCAACACTAGTGCTGGATGCTGCTGTTGGGATGCCACGTGATGTGTTTAGTTTCGTTATTCCGCGCATTTCAGAAGACATGGTGATAGCCGCAACACGCAAACTGAAGCTCTCGTTCGCCTCCGGACCTGACGGCATTCCGTCATCAGTTCTAAAACGTTGTGTAGCCAATCTCTGCCTTCCACTTGCGAGGCTATTCAATCTCTCGGCACAGCAATGTGGGTTCCCCTGCCGCTGGAAACTTTCTTATCTGTTCCCAGTGCACAAAAAAGGAGATAAACGGAATGTCATCAATTATCGTGGAATCACCTCCCTGTGTGCCTGCTCAAAACTGTTCGAGATATCATAAATGGTGCTCTGTTCGTACGCTGCAAAAATTATATCGATACAGAACAACACGGTTTCTACCTGAAGCGCTCCGTGTCCACGAACCTGGTGCAGTTCACTTCTAACTGTCTGCGATGCATGGATTCAGGATGGCAAGTCGATACTGCGTATAGAAAAATGTAACATTATTTCCTATCACCGAAAAATCGAACCAATCATGTTTGACTATGTTCTCTATGGACGCTGTCTTGCTCGTGTAGAGCACATAAAGGATCTCGGCGTTACCTTGGACTGTAGACTCACTTTCAGAATCCACTACAATGACATCATCTCCAGAGCTAATCGACAATTGGGCTTTATTTTCAAAATTGCCGACGAGATTCGTGACCCGCTATGTCTCAGGTCACTTTACTGCTCGCTTGTGCGATCCTTATTGGAGTCAAGTTCAGTTGTTTGGTGCCCTTTCCATGCTAGCTGGATCACTAGAATTGAATCCGTTCAACGCAAGTTTGTGAAATATGCTCTTCGTTTCCTCAACTGGCGTGACCCAAAGAAATTGCCACCGTACGAGGAGCGTTGCCGTCTCCTGGGAATCGAGCCATTAGAGGTGAGACGGACGGTCGCTCAAGCTATGTTCGCTGGAAAGCTGCTTACAGGTGACATTGACTGCCCAACACTGCTGTCACAGCTAAATATGTATGCCCCTGAGAGGTCTCTTCGTCAACGCGACTTTCTGTTTTTGGAACCACGGAGCCGGAATTATACACAACACGAGCCAATTCGAGCAATCAGCCGGCAATTCAACAACTTTTTTTATATGTTCGACTTCAATGTATCAGCTGACGTGTTTTGTCACCGGCTACTTGGCCTTTTCTGTACCGTTGATCGTAACTATTTAGTTTAAGTTTTATTCATTTAGACAGTAATTGTCAGTTGAATTTTTCAATAAACAATAAACAACAATAAGTTCAACAACGCCCAACTATGGACAGCTCAATGTTAATCCCATTTACTCTTTGAATCAGCATACATCAACATGATAGTCTGCTAAGAAAAACCTAAGAATGTATAGAGAAAAAGCTCAAAAATACAGTTTTAACTGATGCTACTTTATAAATATCAAACTGTCCAATATTGGACCCTGCCAACACACGGTGCCTGCACGGTAGTGTGGACCGTTAGAATGGTTCATCGGGTGCGAAGTGAAGTGCTTCTCAAACTGAAGCGATACATTGCTCAATTTTTCAACGTTATCCTAACGTAAATTTAATATTATCACCCATATCCACGCCCGAAACCCATCTACCACAAAAAAAATCAAAACAAATATGTTTCCGTATGGCAAACACGCCCAGACATAAACGAGAATATGGGTGTATATCTTCATTGTAACAACTACGGGTAATCATCGAAAGTACTTGCATTTTACTCAGGCTCTTGGCACTCTCTCATACTCGAAATGTGCCACGACCAAATTGGCACAACGACGCCCTATACGCTATCTGACCAAAGCGCAGGGGGCCAGTACCCTAAATGCTAAACTCTCCAAAAATGACCCGTTTTTGCCCACGTCTATGCCAGAATCTCGTAACATATAGACCGCACTGAGCAGTAGGGCTTGAACAACCCTGCGTCTCCATCACATTGAACATAAAACTGGAGGAAGCTGTGTAGGTAAATTAAAAATGGCTCCTCGCTCCTTCTGATTTTACAAATAAAAAAGAATCCATAACAAGCTCAACTCGTTAGGGCATTACTCTGATCCGCACAACAACAAATCTAGCTGAACATGACATTAGGTCCTAAATAACATTGATCGATTCTCTTCGTCGACTTTCTCTTTCGTTAATAACTTGAGCACATATCCGTTTCTTGTGTTTGGCGTATTAGATGCTAGATAAAAACTTCTTTTATCGATCTGTGTGCTGAAAATACATGGAAATGTCTTAACATGGCCATGAGGATGCAAAGAGAAAGTCGACGAAGAGAATCTGTCAATGTTACTTAGGATCTAATGCAATGTTCAGCTTGAAATATTCAATCAAGACAAAACACCAGGGGAAAAAAGCGTGAAACTCTAGAACAATTACCACCCCCATGCTGGGACCTGGCCGAGCCAAAAAATGAAATCTTCTGTTTCCATAATTTTAATCTTCATTAAAATATTACTTCATTCCGGTTTTTGACTGTCGTCCTCGTCCTCGACGACGCCGGATTTCCACCCCATCCCTATAGCGCGCGCACTTGGATATTAAGCTTCCAGCCAGCCTTAGCAGGCACTCACAGACCAGATAATGACAAGAAAAACACTCGCCGGACGCGTTTGTACCACTACACCACGCTGCCGCGCCGGTTGGCTTTGGCCTAGCGAGAGCTGACGGACGGGCAGCGGGTGCCGAGGTAATAACTTTACACCAGCAGCGCTAAAAGAACGAAAGCAAAGGAAAAGGCGAAGCGCGCTCACCGAGCGGAAGCATAAAATTAATTAAGAAAAGAAGGCCTTCGCTTGGTCTGATTCGAATTTGAAATTTAAAATTATTTGTCGAGGTGGGGGGGGGTGAAAGCTGCGTTGCAGCAAAAGCATTCAAATTAAGCTGTCGGAAAAACGGGGCGGTTTGGAAATTTCCATCAGATTAGGATCTTTTTTTTCTTCAACCCAGAATAGGAATTATGCTGCAGTGTCGTTCTCATTAGGACTTTGTTCGATATTCCAGCTGAAGCTCCCAATCAACGCCACATGCCTTCAGTAAAATAAATAGCTATTCGTCGGATCACTTCAACACGTTCGTTCCACTTTTGTTTATTAACTACCCTTACACACTAGCAACATTAGCCCTATAGTTCAAAACTTTTGATTTTCACTTTTTATACGTTGCTTTCTGTCAGTTTTCTTATAAAAACATAATAGTACACTTTTAATGCTATTTCTCGATTTCATAAAGATTCTTCTTAATTGTTTTTTTTTTTTTCAATATACACTAAAGTTCATCATTTTACTCCTCTCTCTCTCTTTCTCCCTCTCTTGCTTCGCTCACAAACTGCGCACCTGCCTACCACCCACCTACCTCTCTCAATGTACGTTCAAATAGAGTAGAAAAAATAACTATTAACTATGTTTCACCGAATATACTATTTGAATATATAATATAAGAATCTTTAAAAGCTACTCACACTACCGACCGGTCGTTCCCTATAAGGAAAAACGGTCGTTTTCGTCGTCGTCGTCGTCGTCGTCGTTTATTGCGCCACACCACACATCGTCGTTTCGCCGAAGGAGCAGCTAAACTTCCGTCCCGTCGTCTCCTTCGTCCGCAAACAGTGGACTGGTACTGCTGGTGCTGGCCAACCCGCTTGACGATCCGGGCGTTCCCCCAACCACCAGGTTCATTCCCGCTAGGCTGGGCTTCTTTTTAGGCTTCGGTGGTGGCCGGGGTGGCACTTTGCTCCTACTGCTGGTGCTGCCGCCGGTGGTCCTACCGTAGATCGACTCGAGACCCGCTATCGTCGTCGATGGCGAAGTCGTCGCTGATTGTCCTCCCACCTCGGGGATCGATTCGTAGTTGCTACCGGTGGAGTTGTTGTGCGTCGCCGGCATGGCTGTCTGTCCACCGGGAGTTGCTGGAAGTGGTCGATTCTTCATACTGTACGTACTGCTGGAGCTCGCTTTGCTGGACGATTTATTCAGCTTAAGCGTCGAGTTGCCGGACGCCGTCGTCCGGAGGCCGAGATTGTCGTATACCGGTTCCGTCGCGGCTGGCAGCTCTCCGGTGGACGTTGGGCTCGTGGGTGGCAGCAGTTCCGCCGTCGTCGCAGTCGAATTGATCGATGGGCTCCAACTGGGTGTGCGCGGTTTCCGTGGAATGGTGACGTAGCCTTGCTTCATGACCACCTGCGGGTAGATGAGCGGTGCCGCCGTGAAGGGCGAATTGGATCGTTGCGTTGCGATCGCTATCGTCCGTCCGGTTTTCGGATGTTGAAGCGTTCGAAATCCAGCCGGAACTTGGCCGCTTGCGCTGGCACCCAGAAGGCCGGGACTGTGCTGGTAGATGGGACTGGAGAGGGGCGATTTGCCGTATATCCGCCCGTCGTGGATGTTGGACATCGAGCTCTGGATCGAGGGCGACTGGGGAAAGCGTGTACTAGGGAAGGCAAGCAGATCCGGCGGAAGGTTGGTGGTACCGTAGCCGCCATCCTCAATGTAGGTAGCACGGGTGCGCGGGGCCGTATCCGACAGGGCAACCGAGGCCGTTTCCTCATCCTGAGCAGCTGGAAAAAGCGGAAAAGCGAGAAAACGGAGGATTAATGGCTTAAGTTTTTCATGGTCATTATAGATATTTTCGATTTATAGCACAAGTGGGTTAGAAAATAAATCACAGTCTGTACTGTACTCAGGGTAGAATCAAGGATTTGGTACCGCAGAATAATAACCTTAGGTGGTTGGATAGATCCAGAACATACCCGACAGTAGGAAAATCAAAGTAATATTAATCGGGGAAACTGGGGCAGTTGGGCCATAGGGAAAAGTTGCCATCCCTCTAAATATCCACTAAGAGCAAGGGGTAATCAACTCTGCACATTATGCCGAAACACAGCACGGCACACTTTTTGGCACGTAGAGCACACGTTGACAAATGTAACTCAAACAATATTATATAAACGGCAGCACTGCTGAGTTATGCCAATCGTACTCATAACTATGGTTACTGCTTTGTTTACTACTACTGAAAACAGAATTGACAGTTGACTTTCGATCCCGCCCCAGGCGAACCATTGTCCAGACCGAATGATCTCGTAGTCTTCTGCAGGAAATCGTCTAACGTTACCTTTAACGCTGGCAGTTCTATTGCAGGTAAAATACAGCATCATATTCAAGACTTTTGGCGAACGGACACGGATTGGGGCAACATTATTCCAATTGCTCGCGCTGGATGGATTGTACACTCAAAAAATATTGAAAGCTAAATAGTATAAAAGTTACGCTAAATCGCAACTCTCCGTGTCGACGCAAAGGTCGGTATAAAGGGAGAGAATACAGACTTAGTATAAAAATGATTTATGCCTGCAATAGTATAAAATCGAAATATGCTTGCAATGCATACATACGGTTTATTAGAGGGAATGTATTTTCTGCTTGTTTTTCGTTTAATGCTTAATATTATTGTTTTCAAATAAAAATTAAAGTTGTAATTAAAACAAAAGCAGTACAATAAAATTATCATTATCAAACCTAGGTTTATCATTAGGTACCCGACGTTTTGATCTTTGATAAGCGGCTAAAATTTGGCTCCACCCGGAATGGTCATATTCAACGCTATGGCCGTTAAGTCGAACAGATAGAAGAAATTACTGTGCATCAAATCCGTCAGCAGTTTATTGGCTAATCGATACAGGGTTGCCATTCATGGCAGGTTTTGACTCCACTTCCGGCAGGCTTATATGCTTCTTTCGATCAATGAGCGGACGATGTTTGCAGAACCATTCGAGGACGTTACCACCTTCAACGTGAACTGAAAAACGACTACGAGTGCCATCGTGTTTGACATTGTCATTTTTGATCATTTTAGTATACTCTGATCGAATTCCACTCCAATAATCGGACTTAGTATAGTTTTGAAGAAAATATTAATCGAACCAATGTATAAATTTTGATTAATAATAAAATGCATAAAATTCAATCAATACTGGTTTTGTAACATTTTTGAGTGTACTGTGCCACGAATAATATTCACCCGCTTCTTCCCCGCCGGCTCTTCTCGTCTAGCATCACAAATGCTTCCAAGTAGGACATCAGAGTAAGCAGCAAGACATAGCTAAATAAGTCACGTTTCCCTTTGTTTCTTCGCGAACAATTGTTCTCATATTGCGCGAGATAATCGGGGATCGGAGGCTTATATGTGGGAGTTTCTCCAGATCAGATCCAAGCGATCGACAATCCCAAATACTTTTAATAGCGCATCTTATGCTGGTGCTAGTAGGCACTTGTCCGTATTGGCGTAGAACATATCCACCGGTTTTATTTTCCGTTGAACAAACGTCGTCACGGCCTTCTTAAGTCCCTTTTCAGCTGCTTTGTGAACTTCCTCTACGCGTTTTGCTTCACAATTCCTGTGCAACGCTTTTCGGTTCATTAGCTTCAAGACAGACGCATTGTCTTCGCGATCGGGAGAATGTTATCATGTCATTTGGAAGATCTTGCAAAATCGGAGACAAAAAACATTGTTAAAATTGAGTTCGTAGTTATAAAGGAAAATAGTAATTACATCAGCATGAAATAAAATAAAATAATTGGAGATGCAACTATAAAGTCTGGCGAGTTCAAACCGTAGTTTTTTAACTGCCTAACGTTTCAGCTGTTTTCGGTAGTCTTCCTCGGAGGACGTTAATTCTACCGTAATTAAATTTCTCCTGAGGAAGGTTGCCAAATTTGTCTGAGTATTTTTCACCGAGAAACTGTTATGAAGATAAACAGGCACAAAATTCATTATAAATTCAGGGTTGCCAAACTCATGGGATATTGACGCCTTGATTGACAGATTTCGGTTCATTCGACACAGCGTAGGCACAGCTTTTGGCACAGCTAAATCATTCGACGCAGATTTACACCGTTTACTCTCCAGTTTTCAAAATGACATCCAAGCAAGAGAAGCAGCGTGTCAAAATTTTGCTCGCGCAGCAAGAGAATCGGACGTTCTCACACGCCAAGTTGGCAAAATTGCTGGATGTTGTCAAATAGACCGTGACAAACGTTTTAAAAGTGTTCGGGGAGCGTCTTTCGACCGCCAGAAAGCCTAGAATGTCAATGTCTCCCATACTATTGTGCAGTGGGCCAAGAAACGAGCCGGGTTGTCGACGTTTAAGAAGGTGAAGGGGGCGAAACGAGATTACAAACAAAACACGTCGGCAAAGCAGCGGTCCCGAAAGCTGTATACGAATCTGCTCACAAAGTTCGACTGAAGGCGGATTTCAAGCAGCTTCCGGGACAGGAGTTTTATACAGCATCAGGAAAAGGGGAGGTGACTGAAATTTTCAAAACCATCGAACTATCGAAGTTCTCGAAAAAATATCCCGTCTGGCAGGCCATATGCACGTGTGGTCTAAAAAGCGGCATTTTCATTACTACGGGAACCATCAATCAAGAGATCTACGTCCAGGAGTGCCTGGAAAAGCGCCTGCTACCATTCCTAAAGCAACATAATAGACCTGTGCTGTTCTGGCCGGACTTGGCGAGCTGCCACTAGGGGAAAAAGACAATCGAGTGGTACGATCCGAACAACGTGGTTGTGGTACCTAAAGACCACAACCCTCCCAACAGCCCAGAACTCCGCCCTATAGAACGGTGTTGGGCCTTGGTCAAACGGAATCTCAAAAAAACTAATAAATCCATGGCAAACGAGCAGCAGTTTAAATCTAACTGGCGTTCGGTGGCGAATAAGGCCAATGAGACCACTGTGCAAAATTTAATGGAAGGGGTTAAGCGGAAGGCACGGCAGTTCGGATTTGGCAAAAAGAATAAACAAAAATTTTTTTCCTTTAAATATATAAATTGAACTTCCAAAAGAAAAATAAGAAGATTTTTGTGATATTTTTTTTTAAATTTAATTCTTTATTAAAGAGATTTTTAGCCTTAGGCTAGTTCATCTCTAATTTTTGTGATATGAATTTTGACTGAAAGAAACGATTTTTTGTCGACCAATTTTTGCGCGTTCCAGTCTTTAGGCAGATCATTTACAATCAATTTTATTGTTTGTTTGTATTTTGATTGTAGGTTCTTTTAATATGTTATGCGAGATAGGAATTAAAAAGATTAAAAAGTCCGAGAGAAAGGCAGAGATTATTTACAATCCATTTTCTGGTATGTTTTATAATAAAAATTTACTGTTCGCTTTCCGGCTTGCTTGGAGCTGCAACATGAGAGTGACTCCGATGATGACGAAAGATTATTCTGTATCCCGATGTTTGATTCGGATTTTTGTATTCAAGACAGTTAAAATCAACTAAGGTGAAATCTAATAGCGAATTTGTTAATTATTCAGTTTCAACCTGGATCTGGTGTCAAGATCGGCTTTGCTTGTTTTCTGAAAAACGACAGTTTGATCGTTTGTTTTTAAAACCTACATCAGGTTTAGGTTCGCACTGACAAAAAGTTCGGTTTCACACTGGTTCCAACCCCGATAATAAACAAATTCGCTGCAAGTCTTCTGCTGCTGTTCATCACTTTCAAAACAAACAAGTTTAAATATCCAGCTGAAGATTACAAAAAAGCCTTAAACGAACCTAACACTCGAATTGTTGTCAAGAAATAAATAAGACCTTTTGCAAAAATCCACTAGCAATGATAAAAAGATTCGCTCAGAGAGCAAGAGAATTTCTCAGAGTAACTCTAGATTTCTCTAAATTTTTCACACACCCCCCCCCCCCTCCCTCCTCGCAAACACCCAAAAATTTGGGTACTTTTGGAACGGGGACGAAAAACGATGTCCAATATTTCGGCCATCGGGTTTCAGAAAATCTGTCAAATACCCTACAATGTGGGTATTTTCGGAACGGAAACGACGCGTAGATGCTGAAAATTGATATTCGACGGAATTTGTACGGTATTTGATACTTTTTTCTGAAATCGGAAGCCACCTTCTTGAAATACAAGATGGCGTCGGACATCAATTTCCGGCCTCTAGATGTCACCTCGATTCCAAAAATACCCACATTGATCGGTATTTGACAGTTTTTCCCACTCTGAAACCAGAAGTTGCCATCTTGTATTTCAAGATGGCGTCTGACGTAGATTTTTGGCATCTACGTGTCATCCCCGTTCTGAAAATACCTGTATTTTAGGGCATTTGACACTTTTCCTCAAATCAGAAGCCATTGTTTTAGATTTCAAAATGGTGTCGGATATCGATTTCCGAGTTGTATAAGTTACCCTGATTCTAAAAAAGAACCGTATGTATGGGTATTCGATGGAATTTAACCGCCAAAATGGAGCTCAAAATGGCGCCGAAAATTGATTTTCATTCTCTTAACGTCATTCCGATTCCAAAAATACCCATTGACAGCATTTTACACTTTTTGTTAAACTTGAAGCCACCATATTGGATTTCAAAATGGCGTCGCTTATCTATTTCCAATCTCTCATCACCCCGATACCAAAAATATCAATTTTGATAGGTTTTTTTTTACAGTAGAGTAGAGAACTACTTCGGCCTAATCGCCCATTTTGGGCCTATCGAGCAGAAAACTTCAAATAAATCCACGATATCTTAACTCTG